AAATCTTGATTTGTTTATGTTTTTATTTAAGATCCTGCAGATTGGGCTGATAGATTGAGCTTCAAATCTTTGTTATGATTCTTTGATCATTTCTTAGCACCAAATCTTGTGGATTTACCTTCAAAATATGCAAGATATCAAAATATTAGCTCAATTTTCAAATCTTTATGATTTTATCATATAACACCTTGAATTCCATGCAATCTACCATATAATTCTTGTAGAATTTAGCATAAAAACATGGTAAACCAAGGGTTTATCACACAACAGAAAAATATATAATTTTCTCTGAAGTGAAGTACTTTGATTTCTTTAAAATGGCCTCACAAAATGTGAAAACAAAATTTAGAGTGTAATTTCCTTTGATTTTAGATCATTATTTTGGTTTGAAAAAACTCGAAGGCTTCTGGGTTTAAACGCTCTTATAGTACCATTGTTGTAAATTCGAACTGTGTTTGTGAGAGATAAAATATATCACATGAGGTGTCATTGCATAGCTCTCGAAAAGTTATATGGAATAAAATTGTTTTTTATCTTATTCGGGCACCCGAGTCAAAAGTTATGACCTTTCAAAGTTTTACGATTAAACTATTGACTTTTTGTGCCACGTATCAACATCAAATGAGTCACGTCTAACGTAGGCATGAATTCCTCGTGGGTCACGCCTAACTTATACGTGAATAGTCACGCCCAAATTGGGGGTAATTGAGTGCAATAGATTCGTAAATAACTACATATTTATAATTATTTATTAAAACAATAATATTTTAATTTTTTTCCTCTCATTTCATTCATAGAACAATAGTTTAAAGGGGAATGCATCGGTGTTGTTATAGGAAAAAAAAAATTTGTCCAGCAGAGACAGCAATTTAGGAGAGAGAAAATGATACAAGGAGAGAGAAAAAACAATGCATAGACCCCACAAAAAGTTGTATCTGCAGGAATTTTTTTTCCCCTGTAACAATACCAATGGATTACCCTAGTTTAAATAGACAAAGAATGAAAGGGATCAACAAAAACCCATAATTCTACTAACCTCCCATGATAATCGAAATAGCTATCCCATATCACACTTCCTACTAAACTATCCTTAAGAATTTGGGTTTAATTAATTGTATTAGTTGTGTAAAATATTTTTAAACGGTATTAATTTTGTAATTTATTATTTAAATTATAATTTTTAAACTTTTTAGCCTTTCCCTCCCTCTTAATAACTACTCTTGCCCTCAAGAGTATGATCGCATAATTGAGTCTTCTTCCATAGTCTTGTTTGCTTCTTCATTCCTTCCCTCCATCATCACATAGATTAAGAATAACTTTTTATACTCATGGCCTAAAGCATAAGTCTCATGGAAATTCGATCCTTTTTGCCTTTGACTTTCTTCGATCACTGGGGTATCACAATTTGGATTAAAGTAAAAATGATTCATAAGATAGCATAATAAAGTGTTGAAAGACAATAACTTATGTTTTTGAATGGAACAAAAACATTTAGTCAAATTGAGAGTTGAGTGTATTTCTTTTTTAACTGTTTCTTCTAGTTTTTCCATTTTTTCCACCCATAAAAATGAGCTCTATTGAGGAAGCTCTACCTAAAGCATACAAGTGCACCCAAATGATTTTTCTCTTTTCTCATATCATTCCATAGAACAATAATTTAAATAGACAAAGAGTAAGAGAAATCAACAAAAAGCCATGATTTCTCAAACCACTTGCTACTAATAATCAAAATACCTATCCCATATCCCACTACTTACATAATTACCTTATATTAGACTAAGTCAAATTATAAAAATAAAAAACAATAATTAATTCATATCAGAAACATACCCATCAACAAGTTTCGTTTTAACAGCCTTAGTGGGAATTGAACCGCGTCTGCCAAATTTTGTTTGGTATAGCCAAAATCGAAAGTTATTTATCATGAACACTACGTTTGATATAGTTTCAAATGGGATAACAATCACATTAAATCCACCTGTTTCTTCATAATCAATGCCATAGGTTTGAGAGTAACCTTTGGCAACTAATCGAGCTTTGTATCTCTCAAGAGTTCCATCAGAATTATATTTCAGGGCATAAACCCATCTGCACCCTACTGCTTTCTTTCCAGTAGGTCTATCAATAACCTCCCATGTTTTATTTTTCTCCAATGCATTCATCTCCTCTTGCATGGCTTGAGCCCAATTCCCATCTTTCAAGGCTTCATGTACTGATTTTGGGATTGCAATAGAGTCTAGTGCTGAAACAAAGCTTTTGTGCTGCACAGACAGATTAGCAGAGGAAACAAAATGGGAGATAGGGTATTGAGTACAAGAGGGACAGGAGGGACAAGATTTCTTGGGACAAGCTCTTTGTCCTTTTCTAAGAGCAATGAGTAAATCATCAGAATCAGTAGTAATGGGTAAGTCATCAGAAGTATTAACATCATGATCAGAAATATGAGATTCAGGACTTACCAGTGGTTCAGACGATTGAGGTTGCTGCTGAGACAATGTGGGTTGTTTCCTTCTTTCAGGTGTCATAACCTTCCGTATCTCTGGTGTACTTGATGTATCAATCACAGGAGAATCAGTCACAGGAGGATTACTCACAAGAGGATCAGACACAGGAGGAACAGACACAAGAGGAGGATACACTGACACAGGTGAAGGAGTAGACACCGAAGTTTCAAAGAAGGAAGGTGATGAGTCTTCTGGTGAATTATTCTCACCCTGAAGATGAGGACCTTGGAAAAAGGACTCAGATTCCTGAAATGTAACATCCATAGAAACAAAAAATTTCGGACTTCCAGGGTGATAGCACTTATAAACCTTCTTATCAGGAGCATATCCAAGGAAGACACATTTAAGAGCCCTAGGATCCAACTTACTGCGATGCTGTTTATGAATATGAACAAAGACAACACACCCAAACACTCGAGGAGAAAGACTTTGCAAAGTTGGAATAGAAGGAAAAAAAGAAGTCATGGAGTGAATAGGACGTACATGATCGAGAACCCGAGTGGGTAGACGATTGATCAAGAACGCTGCAGTAAGAATGGCATCTCCCCAATAGCATTTGGGCACATGTGTTTGAAACAGTAAGGCACGAGCAACTTCAAGAAGGTGACGATTTTTTCTTTCAGCAACCCCATTTTGTTGAGGGGTGTCTACACAAGTAAGTTCATGAATCATACCATTATTTCTTATAAATTGGGAAAAGCTATGATTAACATATTCAGTACCATTATCTGTTCTTAGTCTCTTGAGTTTTTTACCAAACTGGATCTCAATCATTTTATAAAATTGAAAGAACAGTTGTGGTACCTCAGACTTTTCACGCATTAAGCACACCCAAGTTACACGAGTGCAATCATCAATAAAAGAAACAAACCATCTATTTCCAAAACCATGAGGGACTTTAGAGGGACCCCAAACATCAGAATGAATAAGATCAAAAGGTTCAACACTCTTAGTAATACTAGAAGGAAAAGACACACGATGATGCTTAGCAAATTCACAAACATCACAATGAAAAGACTCAACAGATTTAGACAAAAACAATGACGGAAATAAAGATTTGAGTAAACTAAATGGAGGATGACCTAAGCGCTTATGATGAAGCCAAATCAAAGAATCAGCAGTTGATTGACCATGAGACATCAAGATGTGATTTGTTACTTTATTTGCAGGAGATTGTGACACCAGATAGTACAACCCATCTTGCTCTTTAGCACTACCAATCGTCTTCCCCGTGGCGTGATCCTGAAAAACACAATGGGTAGGATAGAAGGTTACAGTACAATTCAAATCTTTTGTAATTTTATGAATAGAAAGAAGATTCGTGGAGAGTTTAGGAACATGAAGAACATCTTTAAGATGTAAGGACTGCTGTAAGTTTATGTCACCAGAACCCGCAACTGATGTATGAGAGCCATCAGCTACGGCTATTGTATGAGTTCCAATGGTAGGATGATAAGAGGTAAAGAAGTCAGCACAACAAGCAATATGATCAGTAGCACCAGAATCAACAACCCAAGAATGTTTAAAATCATTACATGAAGAAAGGAAAGAATAAGTTTTGGAGCTCATACCAGTCATAGTCAAAGCACTAGTATCAGATGGCTTACTCATAGAATCAAGAACGGTTCGGAGCCGTTCCATATGTAAAACCATAAACTCGTGATTTCCTTATTAATTATTAACTTGCTGATATATTATTCTACTTTTTGAAATGTTTACAACTAAAAAGTAAATTATTAAGTGCCATTTGAAAAAAATAACTTTTTATGTATTGTTTTTTTGAAGACTTTTTTTTTAAAGTTAAAAATGTTTTGTATTTGGATAATTAAGAAAATTATTCGATGTCAAAATTAATATATATATATATATATATGAAAAAATATTTCTACAGCCACTCTAGATAAGGTTATCTAAGCTACCCAAAAATTATGTCGTTTTGATTAATGATGGGTGTTTCTGTAATTTTAGGTGAATTAATGAGAGGTGTTTCAGTAAAATGTATATAATAAAAAAATAAACAAAATTACAGAAACACCCTTCATTAATTCACCTAAAATTACAGAAACACTCTTCATTAATCAAAACGACGTAGTTTTTGGGGTAACTGTAGATAACATTATCTAAAGTGGCTGTAGAAATGCTTACCCCATATATATATATATATATGGGTAATGTTTTTCTCCTTTTACATGACACAAGTAATTTTCCTACACAAACATAAAAGTGGGCCTATCAATATTTTTACTTTTTGTTTATTTTAAAAATAGTGGACCCCACAATTGATTGTCTCTATGACATGACCTAAGAATTTTCCTACAACATAATATTAGTTTTTACCTATATATATATATATATATATATAAAATACATGTGAAAGAAAATTATGAAAACAAGGAAGATGAGGAGGAGGATTATGATGATAATTAATCATAATAATCTTCATCATAGAAGAAAGATTTGAGGTGGTGGTGGTAGTGGTAGGAGGTGGCAGTTGTAATGGCAGAGAAGATGGTAATGGTTGTGGAGATGATGACGGTGGCAGTGGAAGTGGCTACGACGACGATGGTTGTGATGGTGATGGGCTTGATTGAGGTTGAGATTGATGCAAATTTATATTTGAGAAAAATATTTTGTTTTCTACTTCTATTTTTTGGTAAGTAAAAAATTTTATCTTAGAAAAAGTAATATTTTTATTTGTTTTTGAAAAACTGACAGCTAAACACTTGCTTAGTGTGAAGGGTACTTTCTAATCAAAAATTTAAAATAAAAAACATATCCAAATGGGCCAAGAAGTTGGTTTTCAAAAAGCAAAAGTGTAAAAATTTCGGCGCTTTTATCGTAAGCAAATAAAATCTGTACTAATTTATGGACTCAATTTCTTCTTTCTCATGGTACTTCCTCTTACGAGTGTCAAAAATTAGAAAATTTCTTTTTATCTAATTACTACTATTACCTCCCTAGTTGTTACTATTCATACCAATATAATTGCTTCTTTCCTTGTCTTGATTTTGTAGTAAGTATTCATTTCACTTGAAATGTATAAAACATTGCATCAGGGTGTTTTTGACAATCGAGTCTTTGTTATATTGATCACTAGCTACCCAATACTCTTCTAACTATTTGCATGTCTTTGAATCAATTTAATATGATATCATGATTTTCAAGGATATATTTGGAGCTGGAAGTGAAACATCAGCTACAACAATAACATGGGCAATGGCAGAGATGATTAAAAATCCAAGAGTAATGAAGAAGGTACAAGATGAGGTAAGAGAGGTATTTGATGAAGAAGGAAATCCCAGTGAAAGTGGCATTGAGAAACTAAAATATTTGAAATCAGTTGTGAAAGAGACATTAAGATTACACCCTCCTGTTGCTCTTTCACTTCCAAGAGAATGTAGACAAGCTTGTGAGATTAAGGGGTATCATATACCTGTGAAAAGCAAGGTCATCGTGAATGCTTGGGCAATTGAAAGAGATCCAAATCATTGGAATGAGGCTGAGAGGTTTTATCCTGAAAGGTTCATTCAAAGTTCTTGTGACTACAAAGGCAATAATTTTGAATTCATCCCATTTGGTGTTGGGAGAAGAATATGCCCTGGCCTCACATTTGGGTTGATCAACGTTGAGTTTCCACTTGCATTGTTGATGTATCATTTTGATTGGAAATTGCCCAATGGAATGAAAAACAAAGATTTGGACATGACTGAGACTTTTGGACTAACTTTTGGTCGAAAAGATAATTTGTACCTGATTTCCATCGCTTCTCACTGTTAGCCAAGTTTAGGCAAAAATATGCGCTGGTTCGGCCTCTATTTCTTCATATCTCTTCTCTCTCCCCTCCTGGTGCATGTGAACCGGGAGTATTGAATATTCTCTTCAAATTTAGATGTTAGTGAAAGTGGGACGAAAATAACTCTTGTACGTAATATTATCTTTTCATAATTTTAAAAAAAAATCGCTTCTCAAATTCTAATAAATTACCTTTTAATCATTAAAGAATAATTTTATCACCGTTTGAGGCTGGTCCTCTTCTCTATAATATATAATACTAAAAAAAAATGTTGAGAAGAAAGAAATTGCCAATTGTAATTAGGGTATTTTCAAATTTTTTTATTTATCTGCAATGTTGAGAGGAAGGTAATTTATCTTACAATCGAGTGAAGAAAAATTATTAATATTGTGGAGTGATAGATTATTAGTTATCCTTGGGTTGAGAAAAAATTCTATAAAAGAGCGAAATTACAATTATATTCTTGTTTATGTTATAATAAAAATAATGTTGATATCCACACCAAAAAAAAAATTGTTGATATCGTTTACCAAAAAAAAAAAATTGTTGAACTGAATGTATGAGCTGGATTATGGCTGTATAACCAAATATATGCAAGCACAAACAGATCTGTATATTCAATTTTAATTCAGTGTAACATATCCCTATATGTCCTTATTTAGGGGTGTAAATGAGTTAGACCGGCCCACAGAGACCTACGGCTTAATCTATATTAGGTCAGACTTGGCTTATTATAAATAGTAAAATAGAACAGGCTTAGGCTTTTAAAAAAAACTATTTAGAAAACATGCCATAGGCTTTTTTGTACATGTCGAGCCTATAAGCCTACAAGCTGGCCTATATCATATTATTTATTTAAAATATAATAAATAAAATTATTATTTTAATAATTTTGAATAATAAAATAATATTATTTTAGTTATTCTTTTAATTGTTGAATGTTTAATAGGCTTAAACAGGCCAACAGGCTTAGGCCAAGGCTTTTATTTTTTAAATACAGGTAAGCCAGACGTGTAATTTGGGGCCTACACAGGGTAATAGACCGGGTCATACCCAGTGTTTTTTACACAGGCCTGACCTATTTAAGCTAAAGCCTAGCGTAGCGTAGCCTAGCCTATTTACACCCCTACTCTTATCTCTATATGATATGATTCTGTAACCAGATTTCTGATATCTCAGCCTGAGGATTTTGGACATAGAGATTATCTTTGTATTTGACTCGAGATGAATCTTCTAAAGCCGTTGCACCCCAAACCACACCAGGAGATATCATGGCATGGCCAGTTGGATTACCAAAATTTCCAAACCCTGTAGGGCTTCCAGCAGGGACAGGCTTGAACTGCTGAACTCCATATTTAAGGCTGTTGGCATTAAGATGGGAACCACCTCCAGGCATCAACAAGTAACTGTTGCCATTTGTTGGGTGAGGATAGGGAGCATTACTTGAATATCCAGGCATGGCCATAGGTGGAACAGAGACCGGGGACAGAAACTGATGATATGGCATAAGGTTAGCAAAATGTGAAACATGAACTTGTGGATACATCTGAGCCACAGGAGGTTGCTGTTGCACCATAGCAATGGAGGATGCAGGAATACTATTGGCAGCATGGGAGCTCAAACCCTCCTGAAAAGATAACAAACCCTGCCCTCTTAAAGTTTCATCCCACAATGTTGGTCTGAAATAAGGAATGTCATAACCAGTTGGAGGATCGTATGCCGAGAAGCCCGACATATCATGGGAATCTTGCTGCTGTGACTCTGAAGGTGCATAGGACGGACTTGTATCACGTACCAACCCAATACTGGCATAACTGTCCAGATTCTGAGGGCTTGAGGAGTCTTTGATATCAGGCAATTGTTGCTCAGAAGTAGCACCAGCTGATGCTGGAGAGTTCGACCCAGTACTTGTAATATTGTCATCCCGTAAGTCTATCTGTTTGCTCCCAGGAACATCATCAGTGGACAACTCTGGAGCAGATACTGTCAAGCTTGCAGTCGATTCTTCATTTGATTCAGCAGCTTCTATTAATGGATACTTCGATTCATGCATCGAAGAATCAAGTTGTATCCCAATGGTACCAAAGATCAGCTGACAACGATCAGTTTCCGTAACTCGAATATGCTGTGGTATGATGACATTTTGGGTATCATATATATATAATTGGGAAATTTTATCTTGAACCTCTGCAGCGTCTGATTCTATATCTATAGAATTTTCAGCTGGAGGTGAAGCAGCTTTTTTAGGAGTTCCAATCACTCCAGGAGTATTGCTGTTAGACTTCTGACTTGATTTAGGTTTCCACTCTTTATTCTGCTGGGAAACTCTCTGATGTCCCGCGAGTTGTTGATGTGGCCTACTATTATATTGATTGTTCAAGGACGGCCTACTAACTGTCATGCCAGGGAATGAAGGTTCAGTTACATTAGTTCGACTAAATTGTTCAGTCTTCGAGATGGCACCAACTGATTGAAAAGTGTTCCGAGAATAGTTTATTCTTCTAGGAACATTACGTTCAGATGGGATATGAGATTTCATTCCTTGACCAACATTCTCAGAATGCCTCCTTGGGTCAGCTGAACCTTTGTTCCCAATATTCCGAGGCTCCTTCTTTCTGTCTCTCCTTCTCCTCACCTCATGGAATGGATCTTGGTTGAGCAATTTCAGAGTGGCTTCGTTAGGATCCATGTTTGTTTCCTTAAGGGCTACATAGATATCAGCATCAGAATGATTCCCCACGATTTCCTTGATGGATTGGATGGTTTTGCACACTATAGCTGAGAGTATTTGTGTGCCAGCTCCACCTTCAGTTCTGGAAACAGGGACCATTGCACCCAAAACTGAGAAGAACCCAGATAATCAAACACCAACACAAAGGTTAAAAATTAAGATGAAAAAGAAGAGAAGGGCAAGGGAAGATTTCTTGGTTTTCTTCTTCTCAATCGAGAAAAATAAAACAAAAAGACTAAAGAAACAGAAAGCGGTTTGAGGGAAAAGAACAGAAGCACCAACAGAGTGAGGGTTCTGAAAACGTTTGACAATATAACCAATGTGGGAGTGCCTAAGGGCGGGAGTAATTCTTTTTTTTTATATACGCAATATCCCCAATGATATCTTCTTTTCTTTTTTTGGTAAGCTATCTCTAATGAAATCTTATTTGATATATTTTATTTTTCACAAACATAATTTAAATTTAAATCAAGTAATCCTTCTTCCTTAGATATTTAGAATATTTATTTAATTATTTTCTTTTTTAATACAGATTTTTCAAATTGATTTTTGAGTTTAAATCACAAATCAAATCTTTATTTTGTTTTCCTTATTAATAATAATTGTTATTTTGTTAATTTAAATCACACATCAAATCTGGCAAAAAAAAATTAATTTAATGCTTTTTAATAAATTAATTATGTATTTATTACGGTTTTAAAAATAATTACACAACTATTGCACAATATGACGCCCAATTTGGGCGTCACTAAAGACGCCGAAATTGGGCGTCACTCAAGAGGCAATCACGTCTAATTTAGGCGTCACTCATTGTTGACACGTGTCATTTTTTTTTTCAGAAAAAAAATTTAATCATAAAACTTCTGAAGGCCATAACTTTTGACTCGGGTATCCAAATCAGGTAATTTTTTTTTGATTCCACATAACTTTTCGAGATCTACGCAATGACATGTAATTTGACATATTTTATTTCTCACAAACACAATTTAAATTTACAAGAATGGTATTATAAGAGCGGTTACACCCAGAAGCCTCTAAGTTCTGGATTTGTGATTTAATATAAAAAAAAAATTCTGATTTGTGATTTAAATTTTTTATAATAAATTTTTTAATATAACAAAAATTTGGTTTGGGATTTAAATTAAAAATAAAAATAAAAATAATTATTAATAAGGAAAACAAAATAAAGATTTGATTTGTGATTTAAACTAAAAAATCAATTTGAAAAATCTGTAGGAATAAAGGAAATAATTAAATAAATATTCTAAATCTCTAAGGAAGAAGGATATTATTTTCGAAATTAAAGATTAATGCTATAAGCTTCTGGGTTATAATTTGTGTTCTGAAATTAATTATGACTTATGAATGTTTTTCAAAAATAAAATTACCTAAATTAGGCGTGAATGCCTCTTGATTGAAACCCAATTTAGACGTCAATTGTGCACACGTGTTGACATGTGGCACATTCTTAAATTCAGAAGCCTTTGAGTTCTGAATTTGTGATTTAATATAAAAAATAAATCAAGATTTGATGGGCAAAAAACATTAAAGGCATTTAAATAATTAATTTAATGCTTTTTAATAAATTAATTATATATTTACAGTTTTGAAAATAATTACACATCTATCGCACAATATGACGCCCAATTTGGGCATCACTAAAGACGCCTAAATTGGGCGTCACTCAAGAGGCAATCACGCCTAATTTAGGCGTCACTCATTGTTGACACGTGTCATATTTTTTTTCCAAAAAAAAAAGTAATCATAAAATTTCTGAAGGAGACTCGGGTATCCAAATCAGGTAATTCTTTTTCTGATTCCACATAATTTTTTGAGATCTACGCAATGACATTTAATTTGACATATTTTATTTCTCACAAACGTAATTTAAATTTGCAAGAATGATATTATAAGAGCGGTTAAACCCAGAAGCCTCTGAGTTCTGGATTTGTGATTTAATATAAATAAATAAATAAAATTTCGATTTGTGATTTACATTTTTTTTATAATAATTTTTTTATTATAACAAAAATTTGGTTTTTGATTAAAAATAAAAAAAATAAAAATTATTATTAATAAGGAAAACAAAATAAAGATTTAATTTGTGATTTAAACTAAAAAATAAATTTGAAAAATCTACAGAAATAAAGGAAATAATTAAATAAATATTCTAAATCTCTAAGGAAGAAGGATATTATTTTCGAAATTAAAGATTAATGTTATAAGCTTTTGGGTTATTATTTGTGGTCTGAA